CACATGTCAGAAAGGTGGTAATAATTAGCTGGAAATAATTTCATTAGCTGTCATGTTATTTTCTTTCTAGGTTTGTGTTACTCAGTATTCTTGTGTCACCTCATCTCTATTGAACAAAACCAAAAAAATCCAGAAGAGAAGGAGCATGTTGGAAGAAGCACACAGAATTGGTTTGCTTCCATCTTAGCTGAAAGATTTATCACATGCTCCAAGTTAATCCATAAGGCAGCATTATTCTAACAAGGTGTGGCCAGTGTTTTTATAATGTATGAAAGATTTTCTTCCAGATGTATGTGCTCCCTCATAGAGTCCATATGTTGTGTATATTGTAAACTGGTGTGATAAAAACTCATGGAATTCTGAGACTCACATGTTGGGGTTTTTTCTTCCCCAGTAGGGAAGTCACAAACACAACTAGATACCCATGGCCAGTGAGTATTGAGACATGTCCGCAGCTTTCGATGCACAAATATGTTTTCACATCTGGTTCCATCACTTTACATGCCTTAAAATGCATTACAGACATTTATTTGCCTTAAATCTAGTTTGACTGCTTTATTACTCATTGGAAAAAATACTGGAATCTACCACTATGCTATTGACAATTGGAAAAAACAAAAGTTACCCTTGGCATTCTCAGAAGCCATCTCCTCTGCAGGTGAAGAGACAGACACACAGGATGTGGCTTGGCAATGGAGCAAGGTCTAGGAATCAGCAGGGAAAATCTCTGGAACTTTAACTCTGAACAGACTTCTCATAAGGTCCCTGCTAGAGAAGCACTTCATTGACTTTCATGCATATTTCAGTGCTTTTCTAAATCAGAATTCCCTCAAAGGGCTGTATGCTGAACCATGTTACACTATTAAGTTTAGAGTAAGACCCAAACCATGAAGGCAAAATCCATTCCTGATGTGAACTGGGGTCATCATGGAGACAAATTTGACACAACTGACCTGTTTGGTTTTTCAGGAAAGGGAACGGAAATGCAGAGACTTAAGGAGCATTCCTTTGTCAACTGCTTTGCAAATACAGTTGCACGAGTCTCACAATCTTTCACCCACGGCTTATTCTAGAAACCTCTTCCTCCATCCCCTCTCATCGACTGCAGCAAAAGTTTTGCTTGAGGAAGGAGCAAGGCCCAGAGGAGCTGCTCTCCCCCTCATGTTGCAATATCCAATCTGAGTGTTACTATCAGCTTTTGGAAACTGACTGTATAGAAAGCACAGATGATGTTTGCATATTTTAATGTTAAACATCTCTGCTTGGCGTAAGGATGGAACCTAATAAGCTGCTTTGTTTCTGCTTCATGAATTAATTCAGCCTGCTAACTGATTTGGATAAAGCATTTTGATTCCAACTAATAAATTTGCTCTCTAGTCAGGCAAAACAACTTTCTGGAGGCAAAGTAACAAGTTTGTTAGCTTACAGGGGAAATTACTTCTATAAGGAACAGACTTTTTATAACCCACTTGTTCCACCAATGTCTTTTAAATCAATCAGATAAATTCACCTCATTTTTCAATGCCCTGAATCCTGATAGCTCTGCACACTTGATAGGTAATTTAATCATCGTTGGTGTGGATGAACACAAGCTCAAATTAGCTTCTGAAAGGCTCAGTCGTCCTGCGGATAGCTCTGCCTTTCCACTTTTATGCAGGAACTGAGCTTCACCAACTGGTTAGCTAGAGGTGTCATTAAAAATTTACAGAAAGAAACAAAGGTGTGCTCCAGTGTCTCTCCTTACCCTTTCTACTGTTACTCTGGCAGACAAAAGGTATGGAACCTGCTTCATGAATAATGAGTCATGTAATATGCACAATGCATTTTTAATGGCACGCAGTAATAACACTGAGATATTTCCAATCTTCAGACCTGCACCGCAGCCTCTCAGTAGCCTGTTCTGATTCTCCCCAGATAGATCTTCTTTTCCTCCTCTTCATTTCAAATCCCCCACCTTAAAGCCAAGACTTTTTCCCCAGAGGTAACCACATTTCACCCACATCAGCCGCTGAGCTGGCACTGGATGCAAGTGGGACTTGTGAGGCAGGGAATGCCCTGCCATGCAGCCACACACAGCCATTTTAAAGAGGTTTGGGCCTGAACAACCCTCACCACCAGCACCCCGAGGTACACCAGTAACTGCAAGACAATCTAAGGGAAGACTCTCTTAAATCAATAAAAGAGCTGCTGAGTTCCTTCCCTTGAAGGGCTGCCTTACCAGAGAGGCTGTGCTGGAGCCCTCCTGCCCTGCCATTAGCTGCCTCCTCCGGCTGCCC